AAACAGGAAGTCAGCCGTTCACAACAACAACAAACAGGAAGTCAGCCTTTCACAAAAACAGGAAGTCAGCCATTCACAACAACAAACAGGAAGTCAGCCTTTCACAACAACAACAAACAGGAGGTCAGCTGTTCACAACAACAAACAAAATGTCAGCTGTTCACAACAACAAACAGGAAGTCAGCTGTTCACAACAACAAACAAAATGTCAGCTGTTCACAACAACAAACAGGAAGTCAACCTTTCACAACAAACAGACAGTTAAACTGAAAGGCGGAGCGGTGGTGCAGAGGTTAGAGAAGGCGAGCACGCGATGGAAGGTTGCCAGATCGATTGAAAATGGGGTGAGAAAGGTGAAATGCCTCAACCTGCCCCTCCCTCTGCCCTTTGGCCCCTCCCTCTGCTCCACACAGGGCTGGGGTAGCTCCGTCTCTCTGAAGGGAGCAGGCCAAAGTTGTGAGGTTCTGGAACGGGCCCGTGGTTTCAGAAACAGAACACCTGTCCACAGGTCCAAATGAAGCAGAACCACATGGCCCGCCTCTCTGCTGAAACACATCTGGTGTTCCGAGCCTGATCCGGGTTCTGACGGGCCAGCCAACTGAGACTTAACAAAACCCACTCTGACCGAATCCAGAACCAGGTCTTTGTGTGATCAGTCCCGGGGGTTGGGGGTTAAACGAGACCAGCAGAACCAAACCCAACCTGCAGGTCGTTTCTGTTGATGAGTCCTATCCAGTCGGGATGGACCAGAACCTAACCTCTGAGACCAGAGTCAGACCAGTCTGAGGTCCAGGTCTGGACGGGAGTCCAGGCAGTCAAGACATGGTTCTGAACTGGTTTTAGTGTAAACCACATGTCAGACTCAAGGCCCAAGATGTTACTTTAAATGTTAAATGCTTCACGTCTTTAATGTTTCAGTTGATGTTGAAAGCACAACAGAACGTCATGAGACCAGTCACACACTGGTTGAGGAACCTGGGACCAGAGAAGATGCTGGTATCTGACGACTTCATGGAGATTCTCAAACTGGTTCTTAGTTTGAAAAAGGTTTCAATTTTGGCCCCTGGTGTAAACCAGTAGAACCCAGCTGCTAATGGATCCGTGTACTGGCTGTTATCTGGTCCCCTCGAGGACTGGACCTTCAGAACCGGGCCTCACAGAGGGGTGAACGTACCGATGCGTCCGATCTTCATCCCGGATCGAGCCAGAGCTCTGAGGGCGGACTGAGCTCCGGGTCCAGGAGTCTTGGTCCTGAAAGACAGACAGAAAGACAGGTGAGCTGCGACAGGAAGCGGCTCCGACCCCACAGGAAGCGGCTCCGACCCCACAGGAAGCGGCTCCGACCCCACAGGTACCTGTTTCCTCCGGTGGCCCGCAGCTTGATGTGCAGCGCCGTGATGCCCAGCTCCTTGCAGCGCTGAGCTACGTCCTGAGCCGCCAACATGGCGGCGTACGGAGACGACTCGTCACGGTCCGCTTTCACCTTCATGCCGCCCGTCACACGGCAGATCGTTTCCCTGGAAACGCACACACCAATCAGATCGTTTCCCTGGAAACAGACTAATCAGAGTGTCGGGGGGACCTACTTCCCGGAGAGGTCGGTGACGTGGACGAAGGTGTCGTTGAAGGAGGCGAAGATGTGACACACGCCGAACACGTTCTCTCCTTCAGCCACCTGAGGGCCCAGACTGATGACCTGCTCCTCCTTCTTCTCCTTTCCTTTACGGGGAGCCATGTCTGCGGAGGAAGAGGAGGTCAGTGAGGGTGAAGAGCACAACCCAACTAAAGACAGGTCCATCAGGATCGATACAAACATATGGATACTATCAATACCAGAACTTTGTGCTCTAGAATCGATTCTGAAATCAAACTATTGATTATTGATACTTGGGTCATTCAGGTGATGCACATCATTAAACAGAAAAATACTGACGTCTGAATCAGGGGGGCAGAAAAAAATGGATTTTTCTCTGAATCTAGATTCTCAGTCCTGGAGATTCTGAATCGTTTCTAAAGGTCCAAGAATCGATTTTAAAATGGATCTAAGTTTGATATTTTTTCTGCTCCTACTCCCCGTTCAGCCGCTGTAGAATTGAGCCGTGCAGGCCACCGTACTGCAGCTAGTTAGCCAGCTCTCTTTATCTGAATGGAGCCTGCTAGCACGGAGGAGGGAGACAACACGATTCAACTCGCTGCTGCTTCTTTAAAAATCATTTCAGATCCTACAAGGTTCTGGGGGAGGACCGAGCTGAACAAGAGCACAGCTGTTTACAAGAAGCATAAAATAAAACTGCGGTACAGTTTTTTGGAAATAAGACAAAATTCACGGAAGATGAAAGCGAAGCAGCGACCAGTGAACTCTGCAACAAACTGATTGTCCAAAGGCTGTGAGGAGTTCCATCTCCATCACAAAGGATTCATGATGAGACAGCTCAGTGACGGGTTCAGATTTATTTTAATACGATGGATCCAACGTACGTTATTCCTTCATGTACATTTATTTTCTGTGATAAAGCAGCTCCACAACTTCACCATGAAACAACAAATGTTAGAAGCTCTGATGCAGCTGCAGCTCAAAGGAAACTGTTATTTCTCACATTAAACTAAAACTTAGAGACAAGTTGTTCAACAAACTTTATGTAATTTATCTTTTAACAGGTTGAAGAGACGAGAAACATCTGGAGCCAGATCTAAATGAGACACTTTATGGTTTATTAATTACAGCTCAGAAGAGGTTTTGTGCAGGTTTGCACTGGTTTTGAAACTTAAAGATTTACTAAACATGAATCAATATGGTTAAGACTGAACTCTGTATATTTCATATTAGGTTAAGTTTAGAAAATATAACAAATGTTAGAACAATATGGTTAAAATAACTGAAGTCTGTATTTCAAGTAGAGTTAAAGGTTAATGTACTATGGCTGAAGTCTGTTTACTTTTATATTTATATATTTAGAATTATTTGTCTTTGATGGACTGGAGACCTGTCCAGGTGTCCCTGTGATGGACTGGAGAC